GACATGGGTAAAATCTTGACCTCGGGTTCGAGTTTTAAAAATAAAAAAACTTTGATAGAAAATACTTTTTCTTTTAAAGTTATTTTGTGTAATCGAATCTGAATTAATCGGGTTTGTCAATAAACAAGAAAGGACTCCTAGTTCTATCTTTTGATCTCCCTTCCCCTCCTTATCCACATATAGTTCAATAAATCTCCAAAAACATCCTAAGCAAATCTCATATTAATAACAAATAATAACACATGTGAGATCGTTATCTATGTAATAAAGTAAATCTTGGATGATATATAATGATACATTTTAAAATTGTACAAGTTTGGGTGTAATGCGATCAATATTACTTGTTAATTTCTTTTCAACAATATTACTAGTGAATTGGATTATACTCAAATAATAACACATGTGAGATCGTTATCTATGTAATAAAGTAAATCTTAGATGATATATAATGATACATTTTAAAATTGTACAAGTTTGGGTGTAATGAGATCAATATTACTTGTTAATTTCTTTTCAACAATATTACTAGTGAATTGGATTATACTCAAATAATAACACATGTGAGATCGTTATCTATGTAAATAAGTAAATCTTAGATTATATATAATGATACATTTAAAGTCGTACAACTTTGGGTGTAATGTAATCAATATTACTAGTTAATTTCTTTTCAACAATACTACTAATGAATTGAATTATACTGATGTATTATTTCAAAGTCACTCTACATGCAACAAATTTCACATTATTTAAATAGGTATATGCATGTAATACTCGATCAAAACAAATCACATATATGTATACTATATCGCATGATAAATTTCTAATCATTTAAGAAAATTAGTCTTACATTTTAGTAACACATTTTAAAGTTATACGGACCTAAAAATAAAGCTCATAATATCACTAATAGGAAGAGCTGATATTATGGATAACATGTGACGTTTCTTGTATTTATTTATTTGTTTTTTTCATTAAAAATAGCCTACTATATTATTTGCAAACTGATTAATGGCTTTGAAGAGCAGCAGTGTTCCTGCTACTTAAGGTGTGATTGGTACGGAGAAAAATATATCTATATTTTTTTAAAATGATAAATAACTAAATTTCTTTTTTTCTTTTTTGTATTTGTTAAGTAAATAGAAAATATTATTCTAAAAAGTATTTTATATATTAATCCGAGCAAACATTACAAGTGGAAGGGTGGTATGTTGTAGGACGGAGAGGAGACAATTAATAACGTGGGTCGCCATTTATGAATTTTGTTTTCCATACTTTTATCGTGATATTTCTCATTTTTAAGTAACTTATTTTTTTAAGAAAATATTTTCTAAGTTTTTTGACCAACTAAATATGAAAATAAAATAAAATAATAATATATATATATATATATATATATATATTTATATATATACTTTAATTTATGTATATTCTATTTAAAAAGATTAGATTAGGGATGAAGGAACTGGTCATGCTGAAAAGGAAGTCCCTCCAGAGGACTATAATGTGCTAGAAGCTCAAAGAAAAGAAAAGGTGGCAAATGAGAGAGTTAGATCAACTCGTCGAAATTTTAATTGGGCTAAAACATATTGGGCATTGAAGTGTTAAGGAATGATAGGGTCATATCCGACCTGGTATTTTATGTGGACCGACAAATGTTGAACCCGAATCAGACCTTAAACAAAGAAAGAATGTGCCTTAGTTCAATCTAGAACTATGGAATTTCCGGGAAAAAAGATGGTTCAAGATTACGATTTACGTGATGCAAGTTAACGTCTATGGAAAAAATAGTTCCACTTAGAATTATGGTCTCTAAAGGTTGGCCCAAATTCCCCTATGAGATTGCACCCTGTCTTGGAGGCCTGTTATAGTTTTCAATTGGGCAAACTACATAAATCCCACTAGTTAGGTGACTTAGGTCCTAATAACTAACATTCCCGATAGTTTCAAATATTATTTCATCTACCATATTTCATGCTTAGGATACATGAGTTTGAATCTGAGAGATACATGTATCTACCGAATAGACAATTAATTTTCAAAATTCAAATTAATCAAATCCCTTAATATAAGGCGGAAATCAAGGATGTATCTATATTTAATTAATTTCATTTTATTATTATTTGAAATAATAAATTCATTAATATTATTAAGAAAAGACAAAAATATGTATATCTTGATCATGTGATTTGATTAATTTCATTTTATTACTCTTAAAATAATAAATTCATTAATTTAATGTATCTATTATAAATATATAATGTATACAACAAACCAAATACTTAGATACATAAATATCATACAAGTACATTCTTATGTATCATAGAAGTATCTAGTATTAATTTCATGTATTTGTTATAGATGTCTAGTATTAATTTCACGTATCTATTTATATGATCTAATATTAATTTCATGTATCTATTTATATGATCTAATTTTAATTTCATGTATCATTTATATGTATCTAGTATTAATTTGATGTATCAAGTGTCAATTTCATACATTATATTCAAAACATGTATCTTGGATACAGAGTATGCATATACATATAATTACGTGTTCTAATTATGAAATGTAACTGAAACACACGAATTTAGGAACAAATCACGACGGTAGATCAGAATGTGTCATATCATTAAATCAAGAACAAAAGTAAAAAAATTCTAAATTCTTCATTCTTTTTTCTCATAGATACATATAATCTTAACTCAGATACACGAACTCTTAATTAGAGACATGTACACCTAATGTGTATCCAACATTGTTGCACTTGATATGTACTTAATGGTGTATTTGTTCTATTAATTAAATATTAGCGTAATTCTTTCATCTTAATTACGTTCATAGCTGGTCAGGACATCTCACCGCGGCGATGTTTGCTCTCACATTTTGATTTGTCGATGTTGCTCGCTTTGTCTAGATCTGACGGACCTCCGGCAGAACCATTGCAAATTTCACTTTTTCGTCCCTCCGACTAATAAAATTTTGAAGAAGAAGGCCCTCAAATCGTCAGAGATGAAATTTGAGTCAACTAAAGAGTGAAATTGTTAGAAAAGAAATTGTGACTAATTTGGCAGCAAAAAGGCACAAACAAACTACTTGCAAATAACACTAATTGCCATTATATTGTAGCATCCTCTATACAATAAAATATAATTTTCTAAAGCTATTACATTATTTGCATTGAATCAGGTTGTTTGCGGCAGTTGATACTCGTTAATAAGTGGGAGGTGGGTGGAGGGAGATTAGGGTTAGAGATTGGAGGAGATGTTGAAAGAGAAATATATTTAATTGTTATTAAAATGTTAATTGTGAAGTTTAAATGTAAGGATAAGTAATCAATCCTAATTTTAAGGGATGTGAGTATCAAATTGTATCTTCAATAATATATGGTATAAAATATTAAAAATGGTACTATATGTAATTGTTTGAAAATAGAGATAATTTTATTAATATATATGATAGTAATGTATGTCTAATAAAGTAGTTTATCCTTTTCAATTCCTATCTATTTGACTACACCATAAGTAGACAAGGCCCAACATAGTCCACTATATTTTTGGATGGAGGCTTAAAAATGAGTTAAAATTTTATGGGATTTCTGTTTTCGTCGTTTCGTTTAAGTAATAATTTTTATGTTTTTTTTGGGTACAAATATTTAATATTAGATAATTTTAAGGTGAAAGAATATGTATATATATTATTTATGCAGTATATGACTAAAACTTTAATCAACTTTAGTATGTATTTCAGTGCCTGAGCATAAACATATTTAAATAAATTAAAAGAATGTTAAATTTATTATTATATTGTCAAATTAATGACTGAAATTTGTTCTTTATGATATAAGGAATACAACATAGCGTGTATTTAAATAATTAAATTATATACTAGAGAGGTTATTGTAAGTTGCCCTTATATAAAAAGTTTTGGCCCATGGGCTGACCCCAACTCTAATCAAGCCTCAAGGGCAAAGAACTTATATGGGTCGGGCTTTAAGCCCTAGTTTTAAATGAACTTGAAAAATCATATCCCAATTCTATTCCAATAATGGGTTGATTTGCGCCGGCCCCATGGGCTAAACCCGTTTTGACGGCCCTAATCAAGAATATTGTGCCTCCAACTACTTCTCGATAAAAACAAGTACGAAAACAGGTTTCTATACATAATGTACATATATGTTTGAGTTTCTCTTGGAAATTAACATTTGAAATTTACTGTTGAATTGTACATTTGTTGCTACTTTGATTTGTTTATGAATGATTTAATTGTTAGTTGAATTTTTATTTTTAGGTAAGAGTGCTTATTTATATAAAAATAAATTATTTTAATTTTTTTAAAATAAAAAGTTGGTTCTTCGTTATACCAAATTTTTGAGACCCGAACACTGAGTATCAAACCAAAGAATCGAACTTTTGAAAAAATAACACAAAACGCCGAACTAAAAACTGTAAAACTAAATTAGTTTGATTCGATTTTTCTATTTTCTGATATTTATGCCCACCCCTAAAAAGTGAGAATTAAACTATGATATCCGTATTTGTGCACTTCTTCCTTAAAGATGATTGTGTTTCTCTCCCACGAAGCACTAATCGTCCCATTTTCATTTAAAATGTTTTTTAGTTTAAGATTATAAATATTTATAAGTTCTCATTATTTTTTAAAATTTCATAAAATTAAACACACACAAATAAATCGGAACGGAAACGGAAATTACTAAAGCAAAGTTATCAATAGTGTACCGTACACCCCCGCATGGGAGTATCCAATTCAGACTTTGCATAGTTGTGTTGCCGCGTTACTCATTTTTCCACACACTGCAACACACAAGAGTGAAGCCTAATGAAGCCGCGTTAGTGGAGAAAAATGGACATATTTAAAAAGAGGGGGGGGGGGGGTGGGGAGTGAGTGGGTGCGGGGTGAAGAATAAATGAAGAAGCATCGTTGCTGGTTGAATTAATAAATACTTATTTTGTCGTCAGTTCCTTTTATCTCAACTGTACCTACCAAAATTGTGATAGTGAATTTGTGATTTTGATAGATATTAACCTAAAAAAGATTGTCTTTTGTGGTTCCCTTTAGCAAGTTGTATACTTTTTTTGTGCTTTGATTATGGTTGATCAACTGTGGTTTTCACAGCAGAAATACCTAAATCATATGTCATTTGAAGGTTCAAGATTCTAACTTTTTTTGTTTTTATACAAAAAAAGAACATTTTTCACTTTGATTTATAGATTGTTGTTTATGTACTATCTGTGGTTGCTACTGTTTTTTGTTTTTTTTTTCTATATGATTTCTTTACTATTACTGTATTTTCCTTTCGTACTGATTTTGATATGCTTCACTTGATCGTTGGAAACAACCTCTCTACCTTTATAGGGGCAAGGCTGTGTACCCTCCACAGATCCCACTTGCGGGATTACACGGGATATGTTGTTGTTGTTGATTTATAAATTGTTTTGTTTTTTGGGTGGGTGATTTGTCAGGTGATGATGGTCTGTGTAGGGAAATATGGAAGGTCTGTTCTGGTTCATCGTTGGATGTTTCAAAGGCTGGGGAGAGAGTATACTACTTTCCAAGACTTCATGTGGAGCAGGTTATCAATTTTAGGGATTTTTTTGATAGTTTTTGAAATTATGGGTTCTATGTTTATGGCTTTATGCACCATGTGGGATTTCACTGGGTATGTTGTTGTATGTTTATGCTCTGAGTTAAAGAGTACGAGTGCAGTTGAACTCAGTAAATTAGGCTACTAAGCCTGTGCTTTTTTCTTCCTAATGAATTTTTGGTTTTGGCCAGCTGGAGCAATCATCCAACCAGGAACTGATTGAAAGACTACAATTGTCCAACTTACCCCCGAAGATCCTTTGTCGTGTTGTACATATTCGCCTTCTGGTATGCGTGATAATTGATCATTTCAAATGTTTTTGAGATAGTTTTTATCTTTTTTGTGGGAGTTGGTGTAGTTAGATTGATGGATCTTAAGGATTTTTGCCTATTACTCTTGGGATTGATTAGGATACACAATCTCCTCCATGTTAGTGTCATTTAATTTTCTTTGGGAAATTCTTACATAAAGTTGGTATTTGGACCCTATATATTCACAATACAAAAGGTCCAGTGGGAAGAAATGATAACACCCAAGAAAAGATCTTGAAGTGCAAATCATTCTATGCTAAGGCAATTAGAGCTTAAATGAAGCGATATGATGTGTGAGGATTCATAATGTGACCCCAACTTGCTTGTATTAGTTGTTGTTTTAGTAGTAGTTATTTGTTTTTGTTGATGACTATTATTAGACAATTAAATCCTCTGTTTAGTGCTAGTTCCAATGTTTACGAGCTTGTTATTGTTGACAATTAAATCTCATGGTTAATGCTTATCACAATGTGCGCGAGTTAGCCTCATGGGCTAGCTAAATTGTTCGTTTTTGTAGATCATAGACCATGTGATTTCAGTACCAACAGGTAGTCCTGCATTAGAAATTCCTCTTATAGGTGTAGGTCCCTCTATGATATAAGATTCACAATGAGGCAAGTGACCCATATTCACTAGCTGTTTGATAAATTTGTGAACTCCATTCATCATGTGATTTTATCTCTGCATATGGATCCTCCATGGTCCAACTATGCCCACCAACAAAGCCTATTCTTTATTTGACGAAGAAGTATCATTAGAGCAATGAGCCCAATTGTTGGAATCAACTCTAGTGTTTGGGTTTATGCAAATCTCATAAAACTCAAGCGAAACTAAGGCACCCGAATTATCTAAGGTTAATGGATCCTAATTACTACATAGCATCCATTTTCGACGTACTAATCTTATCAGGCATAATACATTAACATGCACTCAAAGTTGGACTCAACTAGCAAGTAAGCACTGCAACTTTGAGTATGCACATCTAGACACCTCAACTCTCTCCATTGTGATTTATGTCAGTTGAATACTCCAACTCACAAAATGATCATCTAGACACTTACAAAATTTATGTGATGCGTTAGCGTCAAGTGTCCACGAGTTGGGGGTGAGTTGGAGTGTTTAGTTTTCAGTTGACACCAAGTTGAGGTGTCTAGATGTGCAATCTCAAAGTTTGAGTGTTTGTTTATGTATTATACCATCTTATTCTGAAGCAATATTTGATTAAAGCAAGATTCGTGGAGCCATTTGTCTGCAATAGTTGTTTTTTGGTAGGTTGAACATGAGACAGAAGAGGTTTATGCGGAGACCATATTATTGCCAAATCAAGATGTAAGAACTCAATTCACTTTATTTTTGAAGATTTTCCAGGATAACACTCTTGTTTACAGCCAAGAATACCACTCCTTGCAGCAAAATGAGCCAACAGCTCCGGATTTTAGTCCTCCAGACACTCCAAGGCCCCAGTTTCAGTCGTTTTGCAAGTGTTTAACTCAATCTGATATAAAAAGCAATTGGGGACTGTTTGTTCCCCAGAAAGATGCTGTCAAATGCTTTCCTCCCTTGGTAATGCACTAATTAATTGTATCTGTTTCTCAAATTTTTCCTTACTTTTTTTTTTTTTTTTTGCGTGTATGAATTCTGATTCGGATAGTTTTTTCCTTGAGTCGAGGGTCTAGCGGAAACAACCTCTCTACCTCTGAAGTAGGGGTAAGGTCTACATACACTCTACCCTCCCCAGACCCCAGAAAGTGGGGGGACTACACTGGGTATGTTGTTGTGTGTGTGAATTCATATAGCCGTCCCCAACTTGCCTGGGATTGTGGCGGAGTTACTATTGTATTTCTTTTATGTGTAAATATTTAAGGTATTTGGTTGACTGGATTTTGATTTTTGGGATTGGTTTCTTCAATGATCAGGACATGCGACAAGAAAAACCAAGCCAAGAACTGATAGCAATGGATCTTCAAGGAAATGAATGGCGCTTTAAACATGCATACCAAGGCAATCCCTCCTCTCCTATGTTAAGATTGAATATCGACCAAATGAATTATTGTTTTGTTATTCAACTTGACAAATGACAAAGAATGAAACTAAAATTATACCTGCTAGGGTAGGATTTTGAGTTTATGGCTCATCGTCAAAAATGAAGACGACCGTTGTTGTACTTTTTAGACTAAGAAGTTTCTATTCTTTGATTTTTATACCAAGAAGAACACTAAAATTAGGTGAATGAGCTATATCTATATCTTGATGTTCTATTCTTTTTCTCTCCTTTTTTTTTTAATCTTAACTACACTGAGTAGGCCAACCACGGAGGCATTCGCTCACAAATGGCTGGAGTACATTCGTTACTAGTAAGAAATTGCTTGCCGGGGATTTAGTTGTGTTCTTAAGGTACTTTTCCGATGGCATGTTTTTGGCCTTACTGTTGAGCTACATCTCCTGCAATTATGTATCTTGGAGAATTTTTATCTTTTCATATCTCATTTGATTTATTTCCTTTGATTTTGCTTCAAGGGATGAAACTGGCAAACTACATGTTGGGATTAGACGTTTATCTTATCAACGTTCTATTGGAGCATCAACATTTTCAAGACAAAGCATGGAAGGTGCTCTTGCCGTTGCTTCTCATGCCTTTGCAACCCAAAGTCTCTTTTTTGTTTACCACAAGCCATGTTATGATAAGTATGACTTTTGAACTAAAATGAAGTCTGCAATGAGAACTTCACTCATATTTTTACATGAATATGTTTTTGGTTGAATGTTACAGATCAAGTCAATTTATTATGAGCTTGAGCAAGTATTTTGAAGGTGGAAACCATGGCTGTGGAGTTGGCATGATATCTCGAATGCAACATGAGGGTGAGGACTCCTCTCATGTGAGAAGGTAATGGAACGATGAGTTCCTAACTATATATATACAAATCTTTCGCAGAAAGAATTGCAATACATTAATTTACTATTTTGATATGCAGAACAAATGATCTGGACCAGATATCTTCATCTCAGGGTCAACAGACAACAAATCTTATGCTCGAGGAGGATCAGTACATGCAAGACTCGGAAGCAGTACTCGATTGTGCTCAATCTACTATGATAGATTCGGAGATCAGGCAGCAGACAATTGGATCGCTTAATAACATCCATTGTTTTGCCCCTGTAGAGGACAATGGACTGCAATTGCATGCAGCAGTTGCGAGGGAGAATAATAATGAGGGATCTATTCCAAATGATACTGTAAGCATCCAAGCTGGAGATGAGGACTTGGATGAGCTATTCAAGGATTTTGACATTCCAGATTCTACAAACACTAGTCTCGATACTATAGCTTTGGATTTGGACAGTGAATGGTTCAGATCGACGCTACAAGGTAATAGTTACTTCCTCCATTTCAATTTGTGTTTTACTTTCCTTTTTAGTCAGTTTAGAAAAAGACTACCACTTCTCTATACCTATTGAGTTTGCAATTCCACCATTAATGCCATTCACTTATAGGAATGGCATGACATGTAAAAGTACAAGATGCAAAGAGTACTTTTGGTATATTATACATACCGTTTGTTGAAACCTATAAGATTCACAAGTTTTCTTCACACTGTTAAACTTCATCTCCAGTCAAACTATAATACGTAAGAAGGGTGTGTATCATAAAATGACTATACTGTGAAGAATATGAACTCTAAATTGTAATATTTTGGTCTGTCCATATGCACGAGTCATGATTCCCCAATCTGGATAGTTTCACAAGGCTGCTGTTCCATTATTGAATAAAAGCCTGGCTGTAACTAGTTATTTATGCTCCTTTATCTGAATTTGTCATTTTAAGAAAGCTAAAGCTTGTTCTTGTAGATTTCGGGGAATGTCTTGAAGAGCAAGAAGAGACTATTACTCCCAGTCAGCCAAATGCCTCAGAAGATCACTCTAGACGAACTTCTTCTGTATTGGAGCATCCGACTTCCTTCCAAGTGATGTCTATCTCTTCAAACCCGAGTCAGATTCCCTACGAAGGACCTGGTCGTGGTGATGAGCAAGTTTCTTGGGGAGGCTATCAAGTAGCACGACGAACTTTACCAATACTCAGTAGGGTTGTCTCGCGGTACCCTGATTCACTCGTGAACTTCAGGGTTGCAAATAGCATACTTCAGTCGGTGTATTTGGAAATATTGGCAGAGTTAGTCTACTTTCTCAATAATCTTACAATAGTGAACTTGTCAAAGGATCAGTTCAATGTTGCTAGGCAACATATCTGGGACCTAAAGTTAAGTGGCATTGAAATAGGCTGGCTTGAAAATCGTTTACTGCATATAGATGAAGTATTTATCATGGAAAGTTTACGGCAAAGGCGACAAGCACTCACACGTAGAATGGAGGAGACATTTAAGCAGCTAGATGGGGAACTTGGATGTATAGACAAGGAGCTTCATGAACTATCTCTAAAGGTTGGCCCTAATCCCCCTATGAGATTGCACTCTGTCTTGGAGGGTTTGCTGTAGTTTTCAGTGATGTTATCCTTTCTATTTGACTACATGATAAATGAGAAAAAGCCGGACATAGTCCATTATCTTTGGACGGAGGCTCAAAATGATCGTATTTCTTTCACATGAAACACTAATAGTTCACATTCTTGGATGAAAAAGTGGTAAGTGTACCAATTTGTTCAGAAAATGACGACTATTAATGCTCCATGCAAGAGATGATCATTTTGATCTTAAGTTCAAAGAATATGGACTATTTTGGGTTTTTTCTATCATGATAGGCTCTCTTACAATTAGAGGTGGAGTCGAATTTTTTTAGTTTATGGATTCTGGACCACATATTAAATGATATGATTAACACAAATATAAAGTTTTGGACAAAGTTGATGTGTTCTTCCAAACCCATAATAAGCACTTCGACTCTGTCCCATGCTTACAGTTTAGAATAATCTCTATGAAAGTGTTTTTTAGTTGACACTTGAATTTGTGATACTGTTGTGTTTTTTTGTTTTCATTTTTAATCAACAAGGTGTAGCCAACCAACTGAACTACTAAAATTCCTCTATTGTTGTGTTTATTGCAAGTTCTTGGTTGTTCAAATGGTTCAATCTACAAGGTCTAGAGTCTTGTAAAATTTTAGACATTGCTTTATAAATTCTAATTGGGCCGGACCTATGTGCTATAACGTTGGGCTGAATTCAACTATGCGGCCCAGAAAACCATCTTATTGGTTTGGTATTCCTTCGAAGCACAAATGTCATATCATAAAATAACACAAGTTGTACTTAGTTCCTACCTAACTTACACCGATAGAGGCACAAATTCAATTTTAGAACGTTATACCTTAAAAAGTTCATAACCCACAAGCTATGCCTTGTAAGACTTAACCTAGTTCTTACATAACTTTTGTTAATATAGACATGAGTTCAATTTCAGTACCCACAAAATTATGCCTTAAAAGGCATAACTTATTCTTACAAAGCTTTTGTGGGACAAACAAAAGGTCTCTTAAGTGTATGCCTTGCAAATTAAATACTAAAACACAACTTATGTCGAATCTAAACTTCTACCTTGCTAAATTTAAATCATAGTTAAGAGTACTTTTAAGTCACAATTTTTCTTTAAATATGCAATAAGGGCAAAAATTAAAGACTAAACAATGTTTGAATTATAATCTCCACATAACTATAATTGGACCCAACGATCCCTATCCGTACTTAATAATAACAAAAGGAGAGAAACGTCACGATACAAATGTATTCACACCGAATATTTACACCAAATCAAGAATACAGAACATGTGTATACATACACACATTTATCTCTCAATCATGATTACACATTGAGTATTAGTTTTCATAGTTACGTTACTTGATTCAATATAAACACTCTATACGAATAAATATTTATCAAAAAGGCAATCACCACAATGCCTGTCCTATGGCAGGCAAAAAGTTCCCACCAAGATTCATCAAATCCCTTCTTGTTTTCTCCTCTCTTTTTTCTCTCATTATACACAATTGAGTGTCCCTTTTCACTTCAATCCATGGAAATTTCCCAAAGGAACCCACTAGCTTTCCCATTTCACTCTTCCAAAAAGTAAAGGTTACTTACTATTTTATCTTTACCTTTTTTTTTTTTTTTTTTAACACCAACTCTAATTTTGAAAGCAATTTTCCTGCATGCAGAGGAGATAAAAATAGTTAGGGGTAAATTCAAGTTTTTGAGTTTCTAGAATAATTTAAAAATAATATATAATAATAGCTAGATCAACATATTGAATTTCGAGCTAAATATTCTAATACATTATAATTTGGACAAAAGTTATTAAGTTCATGTGAAGTCGTGAATCCATAATGATTGCACTAAATCTGCCCCTTATGAATATGCTGAAGTATATATATCAGGTGAATATAGTAAAGGGTTGGTTTTGTAAAACATGTGAGATGCAAAATTTAGGCATATCATTGACTGAAATTTTTAGTGTGCATGGAATGAAGAAAATTGTTTTGACAAAAAGAAAATATTTTTCTGAAAAATAAGTATTTGAACAATAGGTGGAGGTAAGGTGAGTTAGGGTGGGTGCAAGGTGCTTTAAACTATGATTTCAACTAGTATAAATAAAGCCACCCACCAACTATGTTGTTCGGACTCTGTAAAAATATTATTACAGTTGAATCAAATCATGTAAAAAAGCATTATTTTTGAAAGATTCGACACACCTAACAATATTTTTGAAAAGTCCGAGCAACATAGCTCACCAATAATTTGATACAAACCAGCATCAGTTTAATTTCCTCTTAAACATAGCCTGCTTTCTCTTCTTTTTAAGATGATGACTATTCTTTTGACCCATTCTTTCTTCCCTGTTGAATTTCATCAGAAATAATTCAAAACTCTGTAGGCAAGGTACTATAAACATTACAAGTAGGATTAAAGGGTTTGCACATCACTATCTGCCAAATAGTTTTCTTACTTTATTGGCCCTACTTTAATAATTGTGTCCAAATCATATATAGGTTGACAAGTTTCTTTTTTAATAAGATGATGTTCAATCCAAGCTTCTTTTTTATTATGATAGTGTTCGGATCAATTTATGGGTATCTTAACGTATTCATCGGATATTTACTATCTCCCACATGTACACAGATAACAAGAGAATTTGCCTTCTCATTGACAAGTTTTTGTGCTATTTACTCTTTTATATTCCATCTTATATTAAACAAAATTTGGATAATTATCTTTTGTTAAGTTGGAGATGTGTTACTATATGTTAATTCTTTGTACCTCAATTAATGTATTATTTTATTCGATTACTATTTGTTGCTTTTTGTTATTACTTGTTGTTTCTTATCCTTCCGTCACTTCTTTCATTAGACTATTTTTATTGAGCCAAGGGTCTATTGGGAACCTCTCTACCTCTGAGGTAGGAATAAAATTTGCGTATATTCTACCCTCTTTCGACTCTACTTTGTGGGATTATATCAAATATATTATTGTTATTGTTAAGTTGGAGATGAGAAGAAAAAAGTGTAAACATGAAAGGACGATAGGTAGGACCTACAAACCAAAATAAACAATCAACGTAAAAAGAAGAGAGAAATAAGTAGATGAAATTCTGATTATTAATATATATTCAAATGTAACTTTCAACTCTAAAAGTAAAAGTGACACCATGAGAGAAACAGCCAGAGTAAAATAAGGTGCTTTTTCAAACAGTTCTTTTCTTCTATTAATACATGTTGTTATTTGCTTTGGTTATCGTAATATTGTGTTACTGTTATTGTTCTGTTTTTCTTGAATATTTTGTAATGATTTTATTATTATTTGCTATGTCTGCTTTGGGCCTATATACTTGCTTTGTTAGAAGTTATTGAACTGATCTTTTGGAAACAACGGTCTGGTACACCCTACCTTACCCAAATCTCACCTGGTGAAATTACATTGGGTTGTTGATGGTGTTTCGTCTTACTAACACGATTAATTCAGATTTGTGATGCATAGAACCCATTAAAGACATCGGAATAAAAATAAAGAGATTTATCCGTCCAAAATTATCTTTTGGTGGTACTTTTTTTAATGGTCAACCACAACATGATTCATGAAACAGGGAGAGCTAGCTGTCCCTTCTCTTCAAATCTTTCTTAACTATGGACAGTAACAATGCAGCAACATTTATACTATACACCCTCCTCCCCCAATACACAATTGAAGTTTATGATAGGTTTTAAATTTGTCACCAAATTTTTAGCTCATTTTAGTTACAAAATTCACAATTAAATATTTATATAGATTTTATGATTTTCTTAATATTTATATAGTAAACAAAATTATTAGGCTAGTCAGAAGACTCATAACTCGTTCCTAATACTATAGCTCTACCCCCGATGACAAGTAAATGCCTATAGTAAATTAGTTCAACTTTTATACTCTGATTGTGTGAGAATTTTTACTCAATCGGCTCATTTACATAATAACTACAGGTTAAATAGTAAACCAAAAACTTAAATAGATTATCTGCTAAAACATGCAAAAATACACTAATGTTTTATAAAAATTAACAATGTTAAAGTTAAATCCATTCCACAAGGTCCCCTGCCAATTCTTTTGTTTCACTGTAAAATAATCACTCAGTCCCACCTACCCCACGAATTCTTCAAATTTATCAACATGTGCATATCTAAACAGAAATATCATTCAATTCAAAGATCTTTTTTTTTTAAAAAAAAAAAAATGTAAGGTTCCATCATTGACTAACAGATGAAAATTTTTACGGAAAGTTGCAATCCTTACCATGAAATCTTCAAAAATAATGCATTTTGAAGGATCCGACACGGATATGACACAACATAGCAAAAAACAAAAGTATTGTGGGGTTTAAATATCAATATAAGATGATTAATAAAAATGTCATCTTAATCCAAGAACCAAAAAGTGTCGGTAGACTATAATATGGAAGAGTCTCTTCTCATAAACTACTATTACACCCACCACCAAGTGATTTGATGTTTTAAAACAAAAAGGAAATGACAAGACTGAGCTCACGGATGCACAGAAACAACACCTAAACCTTCTTGTGATTTCTGTTAACAAAACTTCAATTATTGCTAAGAAAAAAAATAATATTTTTGGTTCATATGATCATAATGTTCCAATAATGAGCATTATAGGTCCTTGTTGACATCTTCAGCAAACTTAGATAAGACATACAAAAGAACCCGATTTAGGTTTTGAACTTTATAGATTTTGGATTCTAGGATAACAATCACAAGTGTTAGTGATTGGGTTCGGAATTTAATTTTGGTATACATTAAGTGATTTTTTAACACGTACAAGATTTGAACCAAAACTATTGACTTCTGTCAAACTTGTATGTTCAAACCTATATCAGCTCTGACAGACCAAGTCTTCTCGTGGCTGAAGAAGATCCAAGGGATCAGTTTGGAGATCGAAAGAGCCTCAGATCAACTTGAATTGACCAAGATTAACAAACAAAAAGATTGTTTGGCCACTTGGTTGAACATGCTCTCTGATCGAAGCGGAGAAGGCACGACTAGTTGGGAGATTGTAGAACCATAACTTGGGTGAACTTCCATCACCATGTGAGATTTTTGAAATTATTATTAACCGCTTCGCCAGCAAAGTGCATCTTAACACAAGATTAAAAACAGGGCGCCAAGGCAAATTTATGGAGCATGAGGATTTGAACATGCTTGGAAACAAAGGCGGCGGATTCAGAATTTTAAAATCACTGCATCCACTATATAGGAGTGTATGAGCCCATCCCTTTATCCTTTTCCAACTTGAAAACAAGGTTTGTCCAATAGGGTTCAAACTCAATGACAGAAGGAGCGGATCTACCATACATGTTATGGGATCCGTAGAACCCCACTATATAGATATAAATAATCTATCTTGAATCCATTAATCTAAACTTAACATCTTGAAGTTGCCTCTGCTGGATGTATGCGTACACGTCATGTGTTGCGTACTTATCGCTAAACCATAATCCTTCAGGCAACACCACTACTTCTTTGTCGAAATGGAAACGACTTCATATAAATATGTATATTTATATAAAATTTTACTAAAATTTATATAGTACAAGTTGATGGCAGTGGACAAATCATACAACATGGGAAAGATGGGATAAAAAGAAAACTTACCAAATCTTTCTTTTTTGATCTTTTCATTTATTTTTCTTGATTTGTGAGATGTTGCTTAAATGCAACAGTGGGAGCTATCCTGCAACTCCTCCTCTGATGCTCTTGTACAAGTTCTCCAGCAAACCAATCAAGTTTCTGGAAATTGCTTTGTTCTGCAATTTTCTTACCACCAAATAGCAGGGACTCTACATTTTTCTGTTTCAGCATTTCATCTGCAATTCCCACAAGCTTTTTCACATTGTTAGGACTTGGATCAGCATCTATGTTCACCCCACAACGACCGAAGCTCGATCCATTAGCCTGCATTCGAGAAGAAGAGCTTAACTTTTATATACCGACTGCGTAAAGAAATAATTTACTATTAAATTGTCTAAACGATAACAAATAAATGTTCATAAAGAAGTGAGATTAGTAATCTGACATCAAGTTATAAGTTAAATTTCAAGGAATATAGACGAATTGTTGAAGTTTAGAGGGAGCATTAATCATCTACTGTACTAAGAAATCATACAGAGAAACTTGTATGATGACAAGTTATTCTACTTTGCATGTTAATATAAACTTAGTAAACAAAAAGCTATGGTTTCTCTTTTTTATTTTTCATGCGGCATCTAGTACTCGTATTTAGGTCCAACAAATCCTTATTTGTGACGAATAAGGCTCATTGAAATTGAAGGAGAAGCATTCCCTACCAGAATTTTTTCCCTACCAAAGCTCAAAATTAAAATTCCAATTAAAATAAATAGAATCTATCCGGCCCACTACAACCTTAGTCAAATGGTTAGCAAAGTACAAAAAACATATATTCCATATTTGAATTTGTTTAAGTTATCCCATTATTCTTCTGAATCATCCTCCACTAGAGATTATTATATGTCATCAAGTCAATTATCATACCTTTATGCATATAATATTCTCTAGTGGATATCCCATTGGTCAATCTCTTACCTCACAAAGTAACCAAGAGTACTTTTTTACATCCACTACACAATATATATTATTATATTTATATATAGTTAACTTGTAAGAATCATTATCTTTTAAAGTCTTCCTTAATAAGTAATCTGTAAATGGTAAAAAACCCACGCTGAATAGCAATAAATCAACAGTCTCAAGGATAAGAAAATGCTGGAAGAAGATCCTTCAAATATGAGATTTGTAATAAGGCATGTCAATTACTATAATAGGTAAAAGTGACTCGAGCGATATAGAAATTTCTTTACTAAAGTCTATCCTTCAACCCCTTGCTTTCACTGGCAAGGAATTCCGAACTTGAGACCTCCAACATGGAAGTCCCAAGCCTAAACCATTGGCCACCCCTAAGGGTCTAAAGTCTATCCTTCTATAGACCACAATGTAAATTTTTATAGTATCAAATAACCTAAAAGATAATTATAGGTAACTATTCATAATAACTAATAAATGGATTAATCACCCGAAAATAAGATAAGTCACATACTACAAGTTTAAAAATATATCAATAGCGTGAAAATACTTTAAATTGTCCATATATATTAGTCAAATATGAGTAATTAAATTTTGCTAGATTATTTTTGTCCATTATTTTTTCAAGTTTTTGATGAATAATGTTGTCTGATATCTATGATGGTGAAAATAACAAATAACTTTGGGATTAATCGAGGTACGAGCAAATTGAGGATAACACCACATTTTTAAAAGAACTGTTATATGATGATGAGTGGTCATCATGCCCAGCTAAATATGGTAAACCACAGCTGTGAACATTTAATGTACTAAATTGGCAGAGAGTGTCACATTGATGATTCCGCAACTGGCTACCATCAGATATTATCCACTTCTGCCAGTTAGACATCAGAAAAGGACTGCTCTTTATTATATTCCCAGGTGGGAAAAATTCAATCTTTTATCATTATTACTACACCTACTATTATCTACTTTATTAACATTCACATTTTCCTATTTTCAATCAAGATATCAGTCTATCCCCTTTATCCAGTTGTTTGGCAATGACAACATTGTTTCTAGTAGAGACACATTCATTACAAAAATTCCCTTAGTTGGTAGTGACAACTATGATTTTTCTAATTATGTATAAAGATTCAAGAATTAAAGTCATAAAGTGTATGTATACATTAGGTTGACTCAGAAATAATTCAAAATTTTAACGTATGAAAAATTAAACTTAAACATGTAGTTACACACTTTTAATACTTCTTTCTATTTTGTTCCAGTTACGATATTATTTCGTGATTATCACTTTGGTTATTTTTCTGAATGCTTTATATTGCTTTCTTTATTAATTAACATATTTATTATTTTCTACACTTGTTGAAAGTCTTTCGAAAATAATTTCTCTACTTCTACGGAATAAGGGTAAGATTTGCATACTTTCTACGCTCCCCAAACTACACTTGTGAAATTTAATATGTTGTTGAATTCGAAATTTCTGACTCTATAGTTCATTCATTTCTTTAGATTTCAAACATATTGTTTGTACTTATCTAATTTGTTTTTAACACATATATAGTTTATGAGCCAAAACCTACTCGTTATACTATAAATTCGTCCGATAGACATGAGAAATCACCTGACTTTACTTTTTTAAAATTGAAATTCGAACAATATATTTACCTAACTATGTCACATATTAGATGATTTAGATAAACTTCTATAATCTGTGTAATATATAGTTTATTTTAATTTGTGCCTACTAATTTTTGTAACGGTTGTATAAATATCGAGTGCAGATAAATATATTTACCTGAATGCGGACGTAGTTACTACTCCGACATTGCCCAAACGCCATGGCGACGGAGTGATCAACCATATCAGCGGCTCCGTCGCCGGAGATTCGGGTCATTGGCTTAGCCCAGTCCTTAGCCTTCCATTTTTTGACATGTTCATATTGGAAGCTTCCTTCTAGAAGCTGCCCTGTTCCAAGTGAAAGGACCAAAATGTCCTCAACACCTCTAACAAAAGGAAATTCCTGTTTGTTATGAAGAACGTGAGTAATCGCGGCGGCCGTCGGGTTGCTCATAGCTAAACCGCCGTCAACCGCCACGCACCCGGTTTTTCCATCGACGGATTTCATACAAACCGGTTCGAAGAGTCCCGGTTCAGCTGATGTAGCTCGGCAAACTTCCCATAACCGGAAATCAAAGCTTTCCGATTCGAAAGCATCAGCTCGGGAGAACAAAAACGGCGCCGTACTTGAAAGGTCATAACAGGGGATTAAAACCGGTTTAAGAGTATCCTTTAACGTAAGGCTTCGACCGGTTTTTTTATCCATAAATGCTTCTTTCATCACTTTCTCTAAACCGGAAGTATCTGAACGGGTTACGCCGCCTCGGAAAACTCGCCGGAGAAAACCATTTCCGGCAGAACTTGACCCTTTTGAAGGATAAATTCTTCTACCTTGTTCCTCTAGAAGCTTCCATGTATCTTCAGCTTGGAAAACAGGACGGTTTTGATCCTTCGTTGAAAATAACATCGCCGTGAAAATTCCTCCGACGCCGGAACCAACAGCAACGTCGAAATAATCGGCGATTCTAGCTTCTGGATTCCCCGATTTAACCTTCAACGCTTGTTCCAAATACGCTAAAGCTTTACCTGATAATATATTTCGCATTCCACCACCATCAATGCTGAGGATACATATTTTTCCTCGTTGATTCTTAATCGCCTGAATATTCTCCGTCGCTGATGTGGTTAAAACGCCGTCGTTTTTGTTATCTTCAACCGGAGACGGTAAATTTTTAGGTACCCAAAGCTTTTGATCATCGTAACCAAATAAGAATTTGCTTTCTAGAATAGAGAAAATCTCGTAACTTAGCTTATCTGTATCAATGCTCGGTTCTAATCGCATATCTGATATAGCATTAGACTCCATTTCTGAACAAATCCAATTCAAAAAAACTCCAAAATTTCAAAAGACCCTTTATTGGAATCACCTAATTTCTCCCAAATCCTTAATACCCATCTGTTGATTTTCCCAAAACAAACAGCTGAAAAAATTCAACCTTCAACCCATATAAGGTTATTTTAGCTACACAAGCGTGAAGACAGTTTTTTCAATCTCCTTTTACCTCAGAGATGCTTCAAAATTGATTTGAAATGTGATTTTGGGGAAGGAATTTGATCAATATATATGTTTGTTGGTGGGTATATCTCTTTTCCCTCACACTCTGTATGTATATGTATATACACACAAAGGGAGGAGTATATAGGGAAGAAGAAAGTTATGCAGAGAAGACAAAAAGGAGGAGGGGAGAGGAGGAGGAGGCAACAAGTTGAGCACTTATTTGACAGTTTTGGTTATCTTAAAAGTTTTTGTTTTTTTAGAATTGGACATTTTTTTATCTCATTCAATATTGATAAAGGTGATTTTTTTTTGTTAGAGTCACGTAACTGGAGACGATGAGGATAAAAAATTACCGTCCTTAAATCCTAGAAATCGTAACATTAAAAGTTTAAAACTATATCAAATATTAGAAAATAGGTAAAAAAAAAACATTACGCTCCATTAAGCTGGAACCCAACATTTTTTATTTCAATATTATATTTATTTAAAAATCTACTTTAATATATGTAGACTCTTTAATTTGAAACTTAGTAACTTAAAAATCTAGAATTCATAACTCATGACCTTCAAATTACCGAGCTTTGCCTCCAAATATGTTTATATTGAATCCTATTTATTTTCAAAGTTCTACCACTCAAAGATTTTTAAATATTTAATGGAAACAAAAAAAAATATTACTAACTTTATAAATTTAGAAGACTTAAATTGCTCAATAATATACGTATATGACTGACTATTTATGATTATTTTACTTAGTAAGTTAAAGCAAAATCTTCGTCCAATTTTCTATCTTTACAATATAGAGGTACATATATTTATAAATTACATTGTGCTTATATTCTTTTTAGGTTATATATTCGTAAATTACATTGTGCTCATGTTCTTTTTAGGTTGGGAACCTTGAGTTTATCAAAAATGTCTTTACCTGCAAAGCTATGAATAAAATATGCTTACATTTTTATTTGTCATATTATATTAAATATATTATTATCAAATTAAATTGAATACATCGTTATTGCGGCAATAATCAAAGAATGGATTCCTCATAAATCTTTCGTACCAATATAATGGTGAATCCCAAACTTATAAGTTAGAATCCTACCAAAGCAATAAGCATAATAAATGCCATATTGCTTTTTATTAGAAAACTTCTTGTTATATACTTCAAAAAAAAAAGCTTGCAGAAAGGTGTGAGAGAATTTGTTCTGTCATTAAAATCCCAATAGTTGATCAAATATATTGTGGGCCAATGTTAATGTCGTTGCCGTTTATTTTATTTTTTTCTATTTTAATGAATAAAGAAGATTTTATATTTTGATATATTTAATTTTTGTCGGCAAGTTATGCATACGCACTAATTATTGCACAATTTGCAATGTCAAAAGTTATTTCCTTTTGCAAGAGAAGAAAAAAGAAACTATTTCCTCCTTTCCTAGTTGTTATACTTGTTAACATGTAATTGATCTAAATCTTAAAAAGTGAGTAGATAATATGAACCAATTATTTCTTTATGATTGGAACTGATAAAAAATAAGGCATACTTTTATGTAATTCAAGATTTGAGAATAAAATCAATTTTAATTAAAAAAAATATATGAATATGAATCTTACTTAGTCGAGTCTTGAAACTGTTATAAAAAATTGTATGAGAAAGAACAAATAAAAAAGAAAAAATCTTATAAGCGGTTAAGAAACTCGTGTATCAAGCATGGTAGCCTAACTAAAGAAGTGAAATCAGAACTTAAAAGATCGAATAGAACAATATACACAAAAGCAAATCCCTTTATTTAGTAAGAACCTAAGGAATTTATCATTTCTATCAAATAAACTACTCAAGAATTTTTTTATTTTATGTATCAAAATTGGATCTGAATAAAGAAAAAATAGTAGATGGGATTATCGAAATCTTGTTTCGTCTTTACTGGGAACTTGAGTGAGAATAAATTATTTTTGAATTATCAGAGTTTGAAAATGGACTCTTTTCCATATTTGGTGTACCTACTTGGATAGAATGAAAGGGAACTTTCACGTCCAAAACGTGAAGAGTCTCATGCAACTAAAGCACTAAGACCTCTAATGTGATTTGACTGCTTAACACTTCCATAATCAAATTTTAATTATACTTCTTCTCGATCCAATAATAGTTGTTCATTATTGACTTGACACAAGAATTAAGAAGCCGTTAATAATAGAGGTAATTTTACCAAATTACCCTTATTAAATATAAGTCATCTGAATGTTGAAAAATGAATAGTATTCAATAGCAAGGATAAAATAGACACAACATTGTAAATTATTCATTGATTTTATAAACTGATCAAGTATTGTTGGACATCCCAAAATAGTTGAGTGGACAAGTAAAGATGGACAAACGGAGTATTTATTATGACTAGTTTTGTTCTCACACCCCATGAAGAATGTTTTTAAAATTTCAGTAATTGTTAATTAATTTGGTTCTTAATTGACATTTTGTCTTGCAATAATTGTATCCATCCAAATCGATTTGCTTAAAAAACAATAATTATGTTGGGTGTGGTATTGGTGGGCGTTTCAACAATTTCTACTTTACAAATTGATGTCCCTATAACCTAATAACAAGAATTTTGACAATGGTGTTTTCTTTTATAATTGTGGTGTCTAGATCAGCTTTCGCACGTCTTCTACGAGATACATGTCACTTCACCATGTAACACTTTATCCATCAAAGATAGGACGAATGGGAAAAAAATCGCTAAATATTGCTTTATATACCGTCAATGTTGTAATGAGATAAAATCCCCACATCCTTGTTCAAATATCTCGAGTTCAAGTCTTAAATATGAAGAAAAAAAATCCTGATCTAAGCATTTTGCCCCTTTAATTAGAGTTATACAACACAAATATGTATTAGCTGGCCCGGTGTGGATATCTAACACTGGTGAGAAACAAAGAAAATGCTTTCTTCACACTACTATTTGTCGTTTTTATATATTGTAGGTTGACGTATTAAATAACTAAAAATTACTCACCCATCTACTTTTAACAAAAACTTGTAACTTCCGATCTCTTTTCAACTAAAAGCAGTATAATAGTCAAAGGAGAATGAGTCAAAGATTTTAAGAAGATAAATGCAACAACAAGAACAACATACCCAGCGAAATCCCATAAGTGAGATCCAGAGAGGATAGAGTAACGCAGACCTTGGGAGGTGCAGAGGCTGTTTCTGATAAATCCTCGGCCCAAGGAAAAACAACAAATGCAAATTACCAAATCAATTATTTATTCCAAAGTAGGAATACATCACTTCAGGAAAACTTTATGCATGACACGTATTTCATTCATTTGTTTAACGTAAACACACATCGTGTGGGTAAGTTAATATCCAAAATTTGTCTTCATAGAACATCAGTATATGATTACTTTTATTCAACTAGGGCCAAAATGACCAATAGTGATAAATAAATATACAGCACAAATGGAGAACAACCATTAAACTGGTGTAGCAAGAAAATGAGAATTAGGGAGAATCAAGAATCAGCAGAAAATGACCATAAAACTGACCCTGGTAAGCATTCAGAGATGAATCTTAGTTCTTTACTGTGGTTACCTGCCTCAGAAGCATCTGGACAACATCGTTGGAGATGCTTTCAGATTCTGCTTTCAAGTGTTGGATCTTTGCAAACGTTTCTTGATCAAGACGTTTGACATTAGCACCCGAATCACCGCTAGTCTGTAGACAATATAAATATTAACGAGCATACTTAATCAAGGGGTAAAGTAAATTGAATAACCGATTACTTTCCTAACACATCTACACACACACGAAAAAGGAAGTAGATATAAGAAATAAATGACGATTATACTTTTAGTCAGCATCCTTTATGGTGTATTTATAAGAGCTTTATTAGACTGACCAAGAATTCTGATCACCGTCGGGAAATAGACTACAGCAGAAAACGTAATCATGTTCTAAAGGTCTAATAATAGGAGAACACACACACAATATGGGCCCTGATCAAGAATGCAGCCACTAGTTTTGGTCTTAAATGTTCATTTTTTAAATAAAAATATTTGAGTTCATATAAATCCCCACAAACATACAGCTAAGCTCTGCGTATACCCTAGCCTCCCCATACTCCACTTGTGGGACCACACTAGGTATGTTGTTATTTGAGTTCATATAAATGAATGCAACTCAGCCTGTGTAAGCTTTATCACACTGGCAGTCTGCAGTCCCAAGCCAAGATGAAGAGGAGGGTTGTGGTCGGTTTGACAACCAGTGTAAAACTAGACAATTTTATGAAGAAATAGCCAATCTCAAATTGCTTGGATTTGAAGAGCAGTTGCTGTTGTTATGGTATTACAGACACATGAAAATTGGTTTCTTTCCCAAAAACTGTTTGTTTCTTATTTACCTGTTCAAGCTTCCTCTGGAACTCGGCCTCCATGAATGCACGAAATTCAGCTATCTCCTTCTCAGCTTCATCCTTTGCCTGTTTCAATCTAGCCTGTTTTGCTGCACTTGAGACCAAGTCAGGATTCAGAACTTGCTTATACAACTGATCAATTTCAATCCCGGTGCCGTGAAATACAATAGCCACACAGCTCATATTATTAGTTAAGACATGGGGAAGTACAGGTATAAAGTTATGAGCTTTTGGCCGCAGTAGTTATTACTCTTTGCGTGTGACATCCAAAATGCATATTGATTGGTTATGTTGTAGTTGGATCAAAATAACAAGTACGGTGTTGAGAAAGGGAAGTTTACGTAAAACAGTAAGGCAGAGTGGTGAATTGGTAGGAACTAGGAAGAACCATCCAGATTACATTTTACTTATTCAGTGCACATCAGAGATGGGAATCATCTAGTATTCCCCTTATATTGGAACTGAGCTGATTAAGACTGAAAACAAACTCTCAATGCCCACATTAGAAATGCAATTTGTGTATGTCAAGTGATACAAACCAAAATGTGATCTTACGGGAATCTACCATGCACACTAGTAACACACGAAAGAAAAAGTTGAACTGCAATGGAAATAAAAGTTATTACGTGGAAGGAGAAAATTCTAGCAATGGACCCATGACTTGAAAATAGTACATGTATGTTGCCGGAGTTCCCTGATCGTTGCATTGGTGAAACTAACAGAAATTCAATTCAAAGATCAGAAAACTGGAGGCATAAAAAAGGGAAATCAATTACCACTCCTGGCAGCATTGACAATGTGTTGAGCTTCTTGCTCTGCACCTAAAAGTTGTTGAATTCCATTTTGGTTGCCCCTGTTGGATTCCATACTCATCTGATACACTTATAAAACTACAACAAAGAAGAAAATATGTGTCTTAAAAAGAAATTGATAATATTTGAGAAGCACAACAAACAATTATTCAGCAGAATGTGAGCATGCTGTGAAACTATGCTAAAAAGAACAGACATGACGGCTTTTATGCAAAACTTATCGCCTTTGGAAAGACCAAAATAATTATTACGTCAAAAAAAAAAACACAAGCAGTTCATTTACAGCATGGTTCAATTTAAGGACCAGATTTGTACTAGGATCTTTGTCTCGTGTGTAGTCCAGGTTGTAAATTTATAGGCCGAACTTCGAACTACCCAACATTTTAGGCTAAACAGAGATGGATTGCAAGTGGGACAGGGAGAACACATGTACTTCACATGTTGCCACATTTTGATACTAATTCTATGGCAGCAAAATGCCAGGATATCCTTGTAATAGCTTTGGTGGTCATTGCAATTTCAGGTATCCTATAGTTTATTAACTAAAGATCCCAATCTATTGTGATAGCCTGGTCTAGAATGAAAAATATCCCAGGTCAAATACTTATGAGCTCTGAACTTGGTAGATTGTTGAAGTAATGGACGCCTCACTATTAGCTTTGAGCTGATGGAGAAAAAAAGATTCTTGGCTCAATGATAAATAAGCAAGCAAGCTATTCCTTCAACTTTTAACTAAATGGAAATTTAAGTTAAACATCAGGATGAAACAGGTTACAATAAATTCAATCAGCAAACAGGAGAGTGATATTTAATCAGGAAAGACTGGATCAAACAGCTATGCTCCAACAATTCTCTTCCCAAAATACAAAATCTTTTACTCAATCAACAATTTCTCTAGTTAAAAGTGAGGAAATTCTTCTACTTTTGTTTCCTCCCTTTCTTCTTTGGTCTCCTTCATCTACTTTTGGTCCAAGTCAAACTGCACAAGGTACTCTTCCTACAATTGCTCTATAGAAATAATAGATCCATCAACACAAAGATATCAGTATCAACAAATCAAGCAGCTAAGCTGAAGCATTTTGCCAGAAGCAAGCACCTAAATGTCAATTTCAAATTAGTTACAATTAACTACATGAATCCTCTGGATCCATTCCACTTTAATCGCAATTCTAACAATCAAGGTCAACCAACTACAAACCTTCTATCACTCATTATTGTTTTTAAAATCTCACATAGAACTCAAATTATTTTGCAGAAACAAATAGTTGATTATGACTAAAGTGGAATAACAAATTCAAACCCCAGATTTTCAACCATCCCCTACTTCTTCCCAATCCCAAACTCATAAAAAGGATATCCCAGACAAGTTCCTCTTCCTAGAATCTCTCTATAGAAATAATAGATCCATCAACACAATATATCATTATCAACAATTCACGCAGCTCTAAAACTGAAGCATTTTTTCGCAGAAACAATCAATCAATTACCTAAACCTCAACTCCAAACTAGTTATAATTAACTACATCCTGCTTTAATCACAATTCCAAACATTTTTACACTGGTGATTCAAGGTCAAACCAACTGCAAAACTTGTATAACTCACTAATGTTAGAAAATCTCACATAGACCCCAAAATTTTTTGCAGAAATCAATAGAGTTGATTATATCTAAAGCAGAGCAACAAATTCAAACCAGATCCATCAAATACAATATATCCTTATCAACAATTTAATCAGCTCTAAAACCAAACCATTTTTCCAGAAACAATCAATTAATCACCTAAACAACAACTCCAAACTAGTTAGAATCAACAACATTCTGCTTTAATCACAATTCTGAATAATTTAACACTGAGAGTTCATAGTCAACCAAATGCAATACTCATTATTGTTTGCGGAGCACACATAGATCTCAAATCATCTTGCAGAAACCAAATACACTAGTTGATTATATCTAAAGCGGAGTAACAAATTCAAACCAGATCCATCAAAACAACATATCCTTATCAACAATTCGATTAGCTCTAAACCGAACAATTTTTCCAGAAACAAGTCAATCAATCACCTAAACCTTAACTCCAAACTAGTTAAAATCAACTACATTACGCTTTAATCACAATTCCAAATACTTTACACTGGCGATTCAAGGTCAAACTAACTGCAAAACCTTCTACAACTCATTATTTATTAGCTAATCTCACGTAGACCTCAAATCATTTTGCAGAAACAAATAGTTGATTATATCTAAATCGGAGTAACAAATTCAAACCAGATACATCAAAACAACATATCCATATCAATAATTCAATCAACTCTAAAACTGAAGAATATTTTCCAGAAACAATCAATCAATCACCTAAAGCTCAACTCTAAACTAGTTAGAATCAACTACATTCCGCTTTAATCACAATTCTGAATACTTTCACACTGACGATTCAAGGTCAAACCAACAGCAAAACCTTCTATAACTCATTATTGTTTGTGAATTTCACCATAGACCTCAAAGAATTTTGCAGAAACAAATAGTAGATTATATCTAAATCGGAGTAACAAATTCAAGCCAGACCCATCAAAACAACATATCCTTATCAACAATTCAATCAGCTCTAAAACCGAAGCATATTTTCCAGAAATTATCAATCAATCACCTAAAGCTCATCTCTAAATTAGTTAGAATCAGCTTCATTCCGATTTAATCACAATTCCGAATATTTTCACACTGGCGATTCAAGGTCAAACTAACTGCAAAACCTTCTATAACTCATTATTGTTTGTGAATTTCACCATAGACCTCAAAGAATTTTGCAGAAACAAATAGTTTATTATATCTAAATCGGAGTAACAAATTCAAGCCAGACCCATCAAAACAACATATCCTTATCAACAATTAAATCAGCTCTAAAACCGAAGCATATTTTCCATAAATTATCAATCAATCACCTAAAGCTCAACTCTAAATTAGTTAGAATCAGCTGCATTCCGATTTAATCACAATTCCGAATATTTTTACACTGGCGATTCAAGGTCAAACTAACTGCCAAACCTTCTATAACTCATTATTTGTTTGCGAATCTCACAGACTCAAATCATTTTGCAGAAACAAATAGTTGATTATATCTAAATTGGAGTAAACAAATTCAAACCAGATCCATCAAAACAATATATCCTAATCAATAATTCAATCAGCTCTAAATCCAAACCAATTTTCCAGAAACAAGTCGATCAATCACCTAAATCTCAACTCCAAACTAGTAAGAATCAACAACATTTCACTTTAATCGCAATTCTGATTACTTCTACTTTGGCGATTCAAGGTCAAACCAACAGCAAAATCTTCTACAACTCATTATTGTTTGTGAATCTCACCATAGACCTCAAAGGATTTTGCAGAAACAAATAGTTGATTATATCTAAAGCAGAGTAACAAATTCAAACCAGATCCATCTAATACAATATATCCTTATCAACAATTCAATCAGCTCTTTAACAAAACCATTTTTCCAGAAACAATCAATCAATCACCTAAACAACAACTCTAAACTAGTTAGAATCAACTACATTCTGCTTTAATCACAATTATGAATAATTTAACACTGGCAGTTCATAGTCAACAAAAATGTAAAACGTTAACTCATTATTGTTTGCGGAGCTCACATAGATCTCAAATCCTTTTGCAGAGCTCACATAGATCTCAAATCATTTTGTAGAAACCAAATAGTTGATTATATCTAAAGCAGAGTAACAAATTCAAACCAGATCCATCAAAACAATATATCCTTATCAGCAATTCAATCATCTCTAAATCCAAACCAATTTCCCAGAAAAAAGTATCAACCACCTAAACCTCAACTCCAAACTAGTTAGAATCAACTACATTTTTACTTTAATCACAACTTCTAAGACTTTTACACTGGCAATTGAAGGTCAAACCAACTGCAAAACATTCTATAACTCATCATTGTTTGTGAATCTCACATAGACCTCAAATCATTTTGCAGAAACCAAATAGTTGATTATATCTAGAGCGGAGTAAACAAATTCAAACCAGATCCATCAAAACAATATATCCTTATCAACAATTCACTCAGCTCTAAAACCGAAGCAATTTTTCCAGAAGCAAGTTAATCAATCACCTAAACGGATAAACCTCAACTCCAAACTAGTTAGAATCAACTACATTCCGCTTTAATCACAATTCCGAATACTTTCACACTGGCGATTCAAGTCAAACCAACTCCAAAACCTTCTATAACTCATTATTTGCTTGTGAATCTCACTTAAACCTCAAATTATTCAAGAGAAACAAAAATGTACTACAAATTCAGAAGAATCACATGTCAAAATTAGTCAAAACAATCATCTGATCCAGATCTAATCAATTCAAGCTTAAATCAGCAGATTTTGATCGGAAAAAAACTCAATAGTACCTGTAGAAACTGAGTTCGAAATCGGTGCAGTGAAACTTTGAAAGCTTTTTTCTGTATGGGAAGCGTTGGGGCTATAAAGAGACTCCAAACTTGAGGCTTTTTTATACTTGTCACGTTCTCTCTTCCGTTTTTTTTGTTAAAAAAAATAGAACAAGGAAATTCTATGTGAACAAAAAAAAAGTATTTTATGTAAAAATAGGCATTTTTTATTTTTAAAAAAATTGTTTTAACAAGCACCAAAAAAAAAAAAAAGGAATTTGGTTTAAAACAAGTTTTTCAATTTTTGAGGCAAATACCACCTAAATGATGGTAATAGCTTAATAGATATTATGGAGAGGTGTGAAATTTGATAATTTCACATAAAAATGTTATTTTAACTTATATAAGTTATAACACAGATGATATAAATGATCAATCATTAAAGGTTATGGTCCAATGATAATACTTGTCAACTTTTAATTAGAGATGTTGAGTTTAATTGACGAATTAGAAGTATTGAAATGGTCAATAAATTGATGTATTTGACTAAATTGAACTAGATCAAAATGGATTCGATAATGTGACATTATGTCATAAGTTCAATACGTCCTATATTTATTAAATTTTATTATCGAGGCAACGATAGCAAGGAACTTACTAATGCATTATATACGGTAAGAAGTTGTTTGGTATGAAGTATAAGGTATAAATTCTGAGATAAAATGTAGAATTATTTTATTCTATATTTGGTTGGAGATATAAGGTAGTCCTAAGATTATTTGTCTCATCTTTATATCATAATGATGGAATAAGTTATCCCACAATTTATACTATAGTTATGATATAAATTATCTCATATATATGATGAAAATAACTTATCTGAAGATAATTAATTTTGGAATAACTTATTCACAATCAAACAATCTAAAAGTCCAATTTTGATTGTACATATTTATCTTAATAATGAAAAATTCAATATTTATATATATATAAATGAACTACTCTCTTGAATCGTCATTTATTAAAATCAAATCACATTCTTATTCTTTTCAAATTTAATGATTTTTTTTATTGGAAAAAAGTTTTTCCTTATTACATTTTTCCTTTATTCCAAACAAATGTTTATGTACATCGAAACAAAACCTTATCGACACTTGGTTAAATTTCCCAATTTGCTATAAAGCCTAAAAAATTCTTAAAGCAAACCCTACGACACCGTATTCGTCAGTCTCCCTAATTGTCCCCGCCGATTCCCAAAACTCCACCGCCGACCACCGCAGTTTTTTCTCTCCGTCGTTCTTCCGTCGATCTCTTCTCCGGCGATCTTCTTCTCCGTTCACCATTCATCTTTATCTCAATCGCTCCATATATACACACAAATACATACACATTTATGTTATCTTTCTATGGGTGTCTGATGCCATTGCCCATTTCCTTGACTTGCTGTTTTTGCTGGTACATTTCTCTCTATATATATTTATCTATATTTTTTTGTCGGTTAAGATTTTTGGGTTTTTTACTTAGGAATTTTAGTCACTGTAATTAGATTTAATTTGGGTAATCTGTGTCTGCAAGTTCTTCTTTTACAATTTTTTCATCATTTGGGAGAGGTTTATTTTCCAAATAATGCTACAGTATCATTTTTTTTAATGTAGTGATTGATATATAATTAACTCTTAACTAGTTTGGGACTGAGCAATAGTTGATTGATTACAAAAACAACATACCAGTGTAATCCAACAAGTGGGGTATGGGGAGGGTGGAGTGAACGCATACCTTACTCTTATCTCGTAGAGGTAGAGAATTTGTTTTAGAAAGATCCTCAGCTAAAGTTCAGCAAATCATATTAATTATGAAGAAAGAAATACAGCAGTGGAGAAAGCAGGTCGATTAATTACGGAAGGCAGTACAAAGCATCTAGAATAGGAACTGTAATGGCAACAAAATAATGTGGCAACTGAATCGCAAAAGACTACCACAATAGTTGATTGACTGATAGGTAATTATCATAGTTCTAAGATGATTTATAAGGTTGATCTTAACTGCTTAGAACTGTTGCAGTAGATGATTGATTGATTTAGAGATATCATTCTAATTTGAGGGCACTGGCTAGCACTAGTACTTAAGTAGTTTGTACATTGTATTAGAATAATGCCAGGTATGTACTTTACTAATTAGGTAAGTTGTGATATCAGCTAAAACATATGTAAGTAAGGATGGAAAATTTAATCATCAGGAGACTGTTATAGCATCATCGTGTGTATTAGTATTGGACTTCTGATAGAAAACAAAGTCTGGTTTAAGTGCAAACAACTTAGCACTCTGCATTGACAATTTGCACCGGTAACTCAAAGATTAACCAGTGAACCCACACTTAGAGAATCATGTAGGAAATGTTTTTGCATTCAAGGGTTTGCCTATTGGTCAATGAAGTGGATTGAGAACCACGAGGTATCAGGTTTAAATCCCAGCAGAGGTGAAAATACTATATGAATTTTACCCATTTGTTCAAGCCTTGGTGGAAAGACTACCAGTGCTAGTGGGAGGTAGCAGGTACCTATGGAATTAGTCAAGGTGCTCACAAGCTAGCCAGACGATTTGGTAAGGTAGGAAAATGCTAGTAAAAAAAAAGTAAAAACTTGATATTCATGTGCAAATAAGATGAAGTAACTTTTACACTTTTGAAAATTCATGTGGAGATAGCAAAGAATAGAATACGAAGGAACTATGGAAGAAAGGTATCATAAGATGACACTAACTAGTGGGTATTAAGGCCGTTATATCATGTGTAGAGTTTAGCATGAATCTTCTTGGTCCTATCTGTGATTGTTTGGCATTGCAGTATAGATTTGTGGTTCTGAGAATTCCTAAATCATCCTAGTTTTTCCTAAAAGTTGAATATCAATTAATGAAATGAGACAGACCCAAATGGAGTGGAATGGATATAGAGGAGTCACATAGCTGACTGCATCTAGTTTTGGGTTGAGGCCAGTGTAATAAAAGCCATTGTTTTGTTGCTTAAAGCAATCAAGCTATGCAAAGTGAGGGGTTATCGTTTCATGTGGGTGAAACTTTGTGATTAAGAGAATTTTGTGCTTCAAAGTTCAAACATTGACGCCACAAAGTTATCCAGAAGAAAAGTGGTGGTTTCTTGACGCTCAACTTCGAGGAGTTGGATTAATATTGAGATTGATGTATATTTATTGCTAAAATTAGTTATTTTGATTATTATACTACTAAATCCATGTATGTTTGGCTTTTAAATTTCTGTGAATTATGCACTTCACTTCTCGTTTTTTGCTTCAAGCCCCACAAACCTTGTTGCTTTGGTTGTGCTTTTCCCTTCTAGAAAACTGGTTGAGGTGTAGTTTGTTGGTGTTGTAACCTTAAAGTTATTTGGACAGTCTTCTTTCTAGTTACCTTTAAATCATACAGTTATTTGGAATTTCCTTCTCTTGGTACCTTCCCCAAAAACATAAATACTAGCAGGCAGTATCTTGTAAACAAAAGAATAAGTTAACTTTGTAATATAGAGTTTTATAATTCCTTGCTATAATGTGAGATATGTTATCTAGTAAACAAAAGAATATTAGTTAACTTTGTAGAGTTGCTATAATTTTTTTCTTTTATTTGCAACTTTGTGATGCGGTTAAAGTGCATTGTATTTTTCAAATGACTCCGCAATTATATTCTTAATAGAATGTTAAGTTTTTCTTGTTCCAGAGATATGTCATAAGCAGCAATGGTGGACTACTATGCAACTAATCCTGGACCAATTGAGGATATTGTGTTGTACGATCAAGATAAACATGTATCATCTGCTGTTTGGGAGGGGCAGGTATTCACTAAGCTAAACTTCCTCCCTTTTTTTGCCAAATCGACACTTGATAGCAACTCAGTGATTTAGACAAGACTTGAATGGCTTATTTTCACTGTTGACAGGAGCGTGGTGCTCTTAGGTGCCATGAGCACACATCAAAGCTCGATCAGTGGATGCTCACAGAGAAACAGGTTGAGTTGGTTAAAATGGCTGGATTTGGCTATTTGAGAATGATACCGGCAATCAGTTTGGATAACCCACTCATATCTGCCCTAGTTGAGAGATGGAGGAGAGAAACAAACACATTCCATTTCACTGTTGGGGAAATGACTGTTACCCTTGAGGATGTCGCGTACTTGCTTGGGCTACCAGTTGATGGTGAGGCTGTTATAGGTGTGACATACACTTCATGTGAAGCAGTCTGTATCAAATTGTTGGGAAAAGCACCTGACTCTGGATATACCAGTGGTGGGATGGTGAAGCTTAGTTGGTTGAAAGAGACCTTCTCCCAGTGTCTGGAGGATGCTTCCATGGAGGATATTGCGCGTTGTACACGTGCTTATCTTCTTTACCTGGTCGGTAGCACAATCTTTTCAACTACAACTGGCAATAAAGTACCTGTCATGTACCTTCCACTGTTTGAAAATTTTGATGAAGCTGGCAAGTATGCTTGGGGTGCTGCAGCATTATCCTTCTTGTACAGAGCACTCGGCAATGCTTCCCTTAGGTCCCAAAGCACAATTAGTGGCTGTTTGACATTATTACAGGTATGATGAGGCTTGGGAATTTTTGCCTTTGAAGGGTTCCATGGGGACACAATTTACTTGGCTGTCATGCTTTGACAAGTAATTGAAAATATAACCGCTGAAACTCTTTATATTAAATCTGGCTGTGAGCAGTTTTTACTCTCTTGCAGTGCTGGAGTTACTACCACCTCAATGTTGGTCGGCCAAAGCTTAATCATGATCCAATCCATGAGTGTTTCCCATTTGTGCTTAGGTGGAAAGGTAAACAAAGCAGTCCAACATCAAACCGTGATGTGGCATTCTACCGAAAATCATTGGACTCTATGAAGCCATCTGATGTGAGTTAGTTTCTAGAACTTCCTTGTGTTACTTGAATCATTTATCTCTTAAAGAGCTTAAGAAAATGGAACAATTCTATGTCCAGGTTGACTGGTGTCCTTACTCAAACATTAGCCATACTGTCATACCAGAACATATATTGCGCAGCCTCATTCTGGGGAGATCAAAGACCATGTTGATATGTTATGACA